ACGAGATGTTCGCTAATCTCAAACCAACATTAGTCGCGCATCTGAAGGAACAGTTGGGAACCGATATTATGAACGACGAGGCCATCAATGCCTGGGATAAGACCTATGGAGTGATTCTCTCTGTTGTGAAACCGGGATTAGAAAAATCGGATGACGACTGAAACAGAAAGAAAAAACATATTTCCACTTTTTCTTTAAATAAAGCTATCGTTTGTTTTTCTGGATTTATTTGATTTTAAAAATAAAGCCCCAAATATTGGCACAAATGTTAGTTTTAGGACATAACATAATCTCATGATCTAAAAGGTTTTAAAGCATGTTTCCACGCAATCAGTGTTCAATTTATTGTTAAATCTATTATATATATAATGTTTCGTTTTGTTGTGTAACTCAACTATTTTAAATATTCTTTTGGATCTACATTTACCTGATTTGTCATTAAAACTATATTTTGTTACTAAATATATCTCATATTAATTATGATTTTATTGTTTTTTGAGTCTACATTAATATTTGTGCAATAGATTAGGCTATTAAAATCTAATAAACATTATTATTGATTTGATATATTCTTTAAATATTGTTTAGCAATTAAAATATATGCTATTTTATAAAATTATACATAATATACAATTATATGATATATAAAAAGTTTGTTTCATTTATTAATAATGATATATAAATACAACACTTTAGGATACTTTATATGAATTTGTTTGTAACCCATTATATGAGAGCAATTCTCATCAAATATTATTTTAAACCATTTTTATTTCGATAAATAAAGCACTAATTAAATTACTTCCAAACATTACATTTTATATACCATAAACTCTCATCGATATTATTGGTTTATTATGTAATGTTTACTTATGTGATAATCATTTAATGTGTTATTGTTATATAAATGTTATATAAATTTATATAATCAATGATCTTAATGTTTGCCATCAACTCATAATTCCCAATATTAGTCCTAAACCAATAATCTTAATGCTATGTTTAACACCAGTTTTAATTATTTACTTAATAAATAATCATGGTGCATCCATTATAACACTATATACATTATTTATTTTAATTCTAAATTACATTAATTAAACGACCATGTACAGTACAGTATTTGATAATAATAAATATGATCGGTACTCTAAATTCCTGTATCTGGTTTTCACTATAGAGTGAAAAAGCGTGAAAATGCATGCAATGCTACGATAATATAAATTCACCCTCATTTGCAATGTTATGGCAATTATGGTTATAATTATCAAGAATTTGCATTATTCTGTATTTTCGACTCAATTCAACACACATTTACTCCAAACCAAAAGTAGGGGTAATTTATTTTCACAGACAAAACACAGAATCGTAATTATGAAGCGGTGTTTCAGTACTTTTAGATGTACTCAAAACGGGTACAAAAGTCAAACATCTGATCAGTCATATAAAGGTCTTGTAGTGAAGGCATAGTTATGGCCTAAAGTGGCGATTGTGTGTTGAATAGAGGGCACGACTCCGACACTACAATACACAGTGTATTACATGTATTACACACTCTGTTTACGCAATGATTACACAATTGATTGCATTCAACAACAATTCAAAGTGAATGCTATTTATTGTTACAATAATTCAATCATTTATTATATTATTGTATAAATCGTTGTATTTTTGAATCAATTTAGAAATATATTTACAACTGTTATCATAATATACACCAAACAAACAGTACTTTGATTTTTTTCCCCAATGAATTCAATGTCAAAATAGTGTCACAAATTGAGGCCAAATATAATTTGTATCTATTTTTTGAACAAGATCGTTTTGGTGGCATAGTGTAGTGCCCTTGGTCATTCGCTCTCTTATATTAACTGTCTTAAAATGAGCTCAAATACGCAAAGAGTATGGAAAGTAAGTGTGATTTCATTTCACTTGTAATACAGGTGTTGTATATTCACTATAAGATAATGTGCTTAATATTGTTGTCACTCTTCAGGTAATTAAACCTCATTTACCACTCATTAAATTTAAAAGAGGAGGAAGTGTTGCCAAAACCGGTAATTTGTATTTAAAACCGTTTTATACTTATTGTAATTACAAATATTGCGATTATAGGGACAGATAGTGTGGTCTCTTCGAGTACTTCCGGTCCGCCGATCGGTTCGACTCCACGAGGAAGTGGTATTGAAGAGGAATTAATGCCAAAACGATATCAACGAAAACCCATAACGCCTTTAGAGATGGAAATGATTGAAGTATTAATCGTTTTGAAAACTAATGATAAATGAATTTACGATTGGTTTTAATGAATTGTTTTTTTGATTTGTTCAGAGAGGAGGACCAGAAATACTTTGATGAATGGCTTTTATTGTAAAAATATATTTATAATAATTATTAGCGCTATTATTGAGTTCTCAAAGAGTAATAAATTGTTTTTTAAAAATATAAACTTATTGTAGATATTATTAATAAAAGTATAATTAAATTGATTTAATTAATAAATGTATAATTGGTTTAAATTAAATATAACTGTTTGGAGTGGTGTCGGGACTAAACAGTGAGCGTAGAGGCGGCCGGTATTTGAAAACCTCGGGCCACTTGAATGGGATGAGTGGCGTATATAACAATGGGTAAGTCCCACACCATTGTCTGCACGTTTAGCAGCGCCGGCGACTGTTCTGTCACTCCCTGAGAGTCGGTGCGAACGGTGTTCATCACGTCCTCCGGTTTGGTGGTCACGAACTCGAAGTGAAGTCTCCACGAAACAGATACTATAGTTTCAGTATAACAAACAATATGAATAAATTGTCACTTGATTTATATGATAGCGTTTGTCATAAGCGCAACACTTACTCATATCACTGGTGAAAGTGGGCGTCACTGTCAACGGAACCGATAATATCATCTGCGAGTGATTCATATGAAGACAAAATTCATTATATTTTCCATAACTCGTTGTTTGTGTGAAAGAAGACGGCTTAAGGTCTTTGACGCGATAATCTTCTTGAATCACTTCTTCGCTCTGAAGGGTCACTGAAAACTGTTTGACACAAAAATACAATGTATAGTGTTTTGACAGAAGCGTCAAATAGGAGGACAGACCTGAACGCAGGGAACGGTAGACTCAACGAAATTAAAAATGCCGACAATGTCTTCGCCCAATTTGAATGTGGACTTTAAGACACAAAATTTGGCCACTTTTCCCAATTGATTGGTTATGACATAACTCTGTGGACAGCGTTTGGCTGTCAAACAGTCGAGTCGATGCAGCGATAGGTCTAACACTGAATTGACGGTCGAGTCGGTGTCATCATTGCGTATAAAGTTAGACATCGAGTCGTTGGACACAACCGAGTCTTTGCGTTTCTGTGGCTGATCTTCAAAACAGTCGTCGCTCTCATCATTTGATCCGTTATTATGAGTGGAATTCCTCCTATGGTTCGTATCGACTGAATTGGACACCGATTTCACGTGATTGTCGATCGTAAGAATACGAATGGGAATCCGTAACAATTGAATGGCTGAATGGATCCGTTGAGTGCCGATCGATAGCTTGTAGTGGTATTTAACTTTGAGGCCGTTATAAGAGGGCGGAACCCAATCGGGTATTGTCTCGCTATAAACGTATGATTTGCTTTCGTTTGGCTTAAGGTTTAGATCACAGAACAATATCTTAGGACTGGAAGCGTATAAAACGCGTCCCTTTTCTCCTTTCATTAGACACGGATTGAATGACGTGTCCGTTGAGGCCATCGCCGCCGCCGAAGACGTCTGCGACTCGTTGTTCACCACTCGGTGCTCATCGACAGTACAGTAACAGTGGATCTGAACGCCAGCCCAACACAGAGTCTCCACTTCTCCGCTCCTGAAGACAATCACAAAATATATATCAATTAATACATCCATTAAGACATTCATCGCGCAAAGTGTTTACCCATTCGCCGACTGTTTCGGCTTTCCATGACTGGATCCGCTGCCGCTCGCGATGCCATTATTGGTGTGATTAGTATTGCAATGAATGGACAATTGGGTGACATTCGTGAAAGTGATGACACATTTGATGGTCTCTTCAGTGAAATACACGGCTCCACGACTCAGACGAGCGCTGATCTCAATCATGTCTGCACTCTATTTGATCCAATGGTTCACTCATTCATTCAAAACACCACTAATTAATAGCACAGAAAAGACAATCAATTAATGGATTCATTGATTCATTTGTTTGCAAACCATTGAGACGTTTGTCACCAAAAAAAGTGATGATTTGTTTATATTTGTGTCCATATTATTGGTGCGCATGTCTTATGTCTTCACTCATGTCTTTACACTCGACAGTCAACACAACTCATCCCAACCTGTGATTGTGATCAACACATCCCACCAGTCGATTGTCATCGATATCTTTGTTGTGACAATCGATGGTAAACTCTGTCCCTGTCTTAAGACTGTATGTATTAAACGCGCGAAGACTTAGATTAAGTGAGAGTCGAGTCTATAAAGTGATGGTTTGATTGTCATCTCATTTGGCGATTGATGACAATTGTGTCCAATTCTTAAGACAGATATCATTGTCAACGAATCCAAAGACATAAAAACTACCATTTGATTGATTAACCAGTGATTTCATAGCCGAAGACTTGATGTCTTTATACGAAAAATGTATTTTTAGCGTTAAATTGGATTTTAAATGTCAAACACGTGTTGAATAGTCACCTGAATTGATCCCATAATCGCAACTGTGAGCTAATCTGTGGTAATGGATGACGACGTGAAGTGTCCGCACTGCGGATCCACTAAATACCGGAACCCGTCGCTGAAGTTGATGGTGAATGTGTGCGGACACGCCTTATGCGACCAATGCGTGGATCGGCTCTTCTCCAAAGGGTCGGCTCAATGTCCGCAAAGTGACTGCAATATCGCCCTCCGGAGGACACACTTCAGAGTACAACTCTTCGACAACCCTTTGGTCGAGAAGGAGGTCTTCGAGAGAAGACGTGTTTTGAAACACTATAACCGAAAAGAACAGGATTTCGATTCACTCGAAGAATATAACGATTACTTAGAAGAAGTGGAGACCATTGTCTTCAATCTGACCAATGATATCGATCGAGTTGTCACCGAAAAGAAGTTGGAAACGTATGCCAAAGAGAATAGCGTTCAGATCAGCAAAAACAGGTCCAGACTTAGCAAAGACGAGGAACTGATCGAAGAACTCCTCGAACAGGAGAAACAGGAGTCCGTTCTTCGCAATCAATACTTTCTCAATGAAGACAAAGAGATGGTTAAAAACAAGGCCAGACTTCGCGAGTCATTAGTCGACGAACTCATGTTCTCTGATCTTCCGGCCCATCAAATACTGGCCACTCATGTGACAGAACAACGATTGAACAGCGGTTCCAGTGATGTGACCAAAAGTGCGAACATAATGTCAACGGCGCCTAAACCACAGACCAAAGTGTTTTCGACGGGTATAACAATCGGGAAGGGGTCCAGTATTTTCGAGCCAATCAGCAAACAAAGTGAGGCCAAGTTGTATGCCTACGAAGCGCCTCATCTCGACCTCAATGGTCCCAATTGTCCGCAACTGAAAGCACTTCAAACCGATGGTTATCTCAAGAATGTCAAGCCGTCGAAATCTGACCAATGATATCGATCGAGTTGTCACCGAAAAGAAGTTGGAAACGTATGCCAAAGAGAATAGCGTTCAGATCAGCAAAAACAGGTCCAGACTTAGCAAAGACGAGGAACTGATCGAAGAACTTCTCGAACAGGAGAAACAGGAGTCCGTTCTTCGCAACCAATACTTTCTCAATGAAGACAAAGAGATGGTTAAAAACAAAGCCAGACTTCGCGAGTCATTAGTCGACGAACTCATGTTCTCTGATCTTCCGGCCCATCAAATACTGGCCACTCATGTGACAGAACAACGACTAAACAGCGGTTCCAGTGAAGTGACCAAAAGTGCGAGCATAATGTCATCGGCGCCTAAACCGCAGACCAAAGTGTTTTCGACGGGTATAACAATCGGGAAGGGGTCCAGTATTTTCGAGCCCATCAGCAAACAAAGTGAGGCCAAGTTGTATGCCTACGAAGCGCCTCATCTCGACCTCAATGGTCCCAATTGTCCGCAACTGAAAGCACTTCAAACCGATGGTTATCTCAAGAATGTCAAGCCGTCGACCGCTGANATCAGCAAACAAAGTGAGGCCAAGTTGTATGCCTACGAAGCGCCTCATCTCGACCTCAATGGTCCCAATTGTCCGCAACTGAAAGCACTTCAAACCGATGGTTATCTCAAGAATGTCAAGCCGTCGACCGCTGAAGACTTGGCCGGAGGTTTTCTCGCTTACTATCCCTGCCATCGCGCCCTTCAGGAGTCCTTTTGTGGCCTTTATTTCCAGCCATAACTACATTATAGCTGTTAATAATAATTGAATCGTTAATGTTATCATAACTTATCACTTGATAGTACTTTTTTAGCACAAATATTTCAAATACTGTATATTTTCTAATAAAAATTAAAGTTTGTATAAAATTAATTTATTTAAAATTTATATATAAATTACAAATTGTAAGACTAATGTTTGGATTTGGTTGATGGTAACGGACTCGGCTATAGGGCTGTGTCTCACTATTGAGCAAACGTCCCGCCGTGTAATATGAGAAACGAGTCGCGACTGATGTGATCGAAATAAGTCTCCTTTGAATTGAATTTGATTTTGTTTTGCTTTTTCTGTTTCTCGAAATCGTATAAATTACTCCTTCCGTCCGTAAATTTGAATATTTTTGGCCAATTAGTTAGCGATGGGTTGTCATCCCCTCCGCCCTTATAGTAGGTATACGATGGGTAACCGATTGAGTTGTGGTTCAAGTCATTCACATTATTATTTGTAGTCAATCGACGTCTTTGAAAGTTTGGTACGTTTTGCGGTGAGAATGTGTCGAAAGGGGACTCAAAATTGAATAATTCCGGTCCCTCTGCGAAGTTGAAGAATGGATTGTTTATTGGCTGCTCTGAAACAAGTGTTGGCGGCGGCGATGGTTGCGGTGATGGCTGCGGAGGAGGCGGTGGCGGCGGCTCTCTTCGGGTAGGTTTCACATCATTTGATGGCTTTGGTATCCTTTCGATCTCATTATTAATCAAATACCTTTCGTTTTCAATATCCGTATCGATTGAGTGCCGTATCGGTTGTGACATTGGATAAGGAGTGGGATTAGGATTATAATGGGGAACGGGTTGTGGCATTGGTTGCGGTATTGGCTGCACCACTGGGTGTTGTATGAACTGGGGATGAGAAATGTGTTGTAGGTTTGAGTGCTGTATCGGCGGTAACATTGGCTGAGGAATTGGTTGCGTTATGTGTTGCGGGAATTGTTGGTGAATCACTTGGGGGTGAATCGGTTGCGGCAACGACTGGGGCTGTGGTGGGGGCTGTTGTCGGGGGTCGTGTCCGATGAAGGGATACGGGGATGGGTTGTGGTGTTGATGGACGACAGGGTTGGGAGTATTGGTGGGAGTATTATGTCTGTCGTGAATGCGAGGTATATCATCGGGAAAGGCATTGACATACGGCTCGTCGGCAAAGTTGTTCTCATATAAGGAGTTCGGGTAGTGATTGACGTGAGAGCGGAAGGGAAGGGATGGCACAGAAGGCAACGACGGGTTGGGCAGGTATGACGTGCGTCTGATGTGACTGATGGCACCCCCGCCGTGATCTATGAACACTACCTGTTGATGAGCTGCGGCCGCCGTCGGCTCGTGACTCGTGTCGCTATACATCATGTCTAAGTCTAGTGCAGTGTTTGTTTGCTTTGAATCACATATTAGTGACAAATTGTATAAAATTAACACAATTGTAATCAATGTTGAAGAACAACATGAATGTAAATTCCTTCTGATATTCTGTCAAAAAAGTATATTAAAAATGTTGATTAATTGCAAGAAAAGGTGTATTTTATTTTCAAAACTGAAACTTTCTTTTCGATTCAATTTGTAAAATTAATAAATGTTAAATACATTTAATGAAATACTTTTTACCATTTTATTTAAAAAACTATAATTATCCTAAATATAGACCGCTATTATTTGACACACAGAATGACTGTCAGTAAACTTAGGGATTAATTCATAAGATAATTAACGCTATAATAATGTTAGCAACGCTTTTGCGTGAAATATTTTTAATGCAATTATTAAACATTATTTAAAGTATTTATCCCACAATTATTAAAACAATGAGATTGTATTTTTGAAAAGCTGTGAACTCAGCGAATATATAATATTTGTTACAATTAAAGAAAGAGAAAATAGAAGTTTCTATTAATAACCCGATTATAAGCCAAAAATAATACTTTCGTTGTAATAATGATTGTTTAATAAAGAAAAGCGAAAATGAATTAAAAATTATTAATATTCTTACCATAACTTTTAAAATAGGATTTCAGCTAAAAGTAGAAGAAAAGCATCAAAAAGTTTAGTTGACTTGAAATCACATTTTTGTTGATTAAGATTTTGAAGGATTTCTTTCTTTCGGTTGCGTTTAATTTGAAAACTTATATTCAAATTAATAGCAAACTATTGAATCGATGTATTGAATGCAATTGAAAGTGGATTTGCTTTCAATCGGAATCAATAGTGGTTTCAATGAAAGACTGGTTTGAAAGAAGATAGTAATTGAGTGGTTGGGAGAGTGAGTCTCTGACTATCGATTCCTCCCTCACATGTCACGACTTAACACAAACAGACACTCGTTTAGAAAGTGTATAACAAAACTATAGGAGAGAGTGTTATGCGAATCTCGAAGAGAGAAAGCGTATGGAAGTATGGTTTGGATTCGCTTTCTTCCTCTAATGTGTTGAAGAGTTACGAGTCGTTGAGCGAGTGTTGGGTCAGTGGGTCGACAGATGAGACTCACGCATACATTCCAGTCCTCATATACTGTATCAAAGCCTATACCACAGTCTATACCACTGCCACCAAAGGAAGTAATACAACGAATGCCAGCTCTTCTAATAAGGAGGACAGCAACTAATGTTTAGACGACCCACATATACATCCCAATCAACAACAATATTCACTATA